TGCAGCTCCCTTGCCCTCTACAGGTCATTTTTCTGTAACTCACTGTTTCAATAATATTGTTTCCATCCTCATCAGTGTTGGATTCAACTGTAGGAGGCAAAAATAAATAAAAACCCATTTGATGCTACCTGCCCAGCACCAAACATCAGACAGACACAATTAGCAATGAGTTGATGGATATAGTGAAGCATTTAGAGCAGCTGAAGAGCCACGTGTTCAGTGAAGACCAAAATGGAGCAATAAGAAGAGTTGGTCTTTCATTCAACTGGTGGGCACAAACATGCCCCCAAATGAAAAATATAAATAATAACACGACCTGATGCCTGTTTGTCATTGTCACACCATACTGAAGGTATTTTTTTTTAAAGATATAATCCTCTTTGTAATTGTGTCACATCTTAAAATTCATGAAAAAACAAACATTAGTGGCAACTGTTTTGATTATTTGGCCAAGATTTCTGTGCAACTTTGTACTCTCCTGAGCACTACTGCTTGATTTGGCTTTGCAAGCCTTACACTAGTTTAATAAAGGGTATATAATAAAAGTTATTACCCTCCATGATGTGGCTACTTCTTCAGCCAGCTGCATGAACATTAGAAACTGCAGCACAACAATGCACAAATCAGTTAGAATCTCTGCAATGGTGGGTTTGAATGCATTGTACAGCATAGTATAGCAACCGAACCTACAACAGTAAGCACCAGATTAAAAAATAGAGCACATATTTTAAATGGGATGAATAGAAAAAGTGCTGCATTCTGATGACCAAGGTTTAGATGAAACAGCTTTTTTCTTTCTTCCCTTCTCCCTGAAGATATCCTGGTGGGAAAAAAATCATAGTCAATTATAGATGCATATAATGCATTATTGAACAGTGTCATTTATTTCACCTTTACAGTTGAGCTCATGAAAAATTATGCCAATTACTGATTTTCTCTCGGGCAATGTAGTAAGTGGTTGGGCCCTGAGGCCATTTGTTGGGGCATGACATGGTGCTCTTTGTGAGGTCTTAGGGGGTGATGTACCTGCGTCATTGGACCATTTGTGGTCTGGCTCCTAAGCTTAGTCAATTAGGAAAACGAGCAGTGCAGTGATATGCACCCTTCCACCAGAGTCCATTTCTTTTTTTTAATTAAATCAATCTCGCTATCACTCAGCCAGTCTAAATTGAGTTGCTCTCACGTACTTTTCATATGTGAAATAGGCGAATATCAAAACAGCCGTGGCATAAATCCTAATCCAATTTCTCCAATGCTTGCAGAGAATAGAAGCTTTCCAAGCTACCACACACTTCTTTGATCTATACTTCTCTCAAGCCATTTGCTATTGTAGCACTGTAATGTTCAAAGTATCAATTAACTAAGTACCCAAATAGTATTTGCAGAAAACTTTGATGTGTGGCAGTTGTGTCTGTCACTGGAATTTTAAATGAATAATTGCTATTGTGTTTTTTAATTTGTGCAAATTATTTTGTAGGAAAAATGTCATTTACTTTTGCAAATGCCCCCCTCCGCCCCATATCAACATACAATAGCATCAAAGTACTACCACACAGTGTTTTGCTGACATATTACAATACTAATGCATCAGCCAAATTTACAGACTCTTTAGTATCAGTAGCACATTTTAGAATTCACAAAAAAGAAAAAATCTCCTCTGGATATAAATCAGTAAAAGCTGCCTGTTTTAAAAATACAGACATGAGTGATTTCAAAGTGTCTTCTCCTTCTCACTAACCTTGAGCACCATCCATGAACAGGTGGGGTTTTTGACCCCCTCCCCTCCCACCTCCGGTCTGCATTATCAACAGAGCACTGAGAAGATTGATACTCCCGGTGCCAGCTGGAAAAAGAGAATGAATCAGAATTTAATATGACTTTGATGTATTATTTTCATCTTGGCTGGTGCCACAGACCCATCGAGAACCCAGCACACTATCTCACTGCATTTTAAAAGATTCAAATTGGCTAAAACTTTTTGATGTGAGAGACTATACGGCAGTGTATACAAAAGTTCCTCTGCTGGGAGCCTGTGCACGGCACTTCTTCACATTTTAGTTTAATCAAATAGAGTTAAAGAACTGGTCTTTAATTTGTGATTTACTCTGCAAAAATTACACAGTCTTCCTTGTATATGGCTGGCAAAGACTATGCATACTATACATATTGTTTATTAGCATCAGGATTAGGATCAAATAAACCATTCTGGGGGAAATCCTCTATTAGTGAGAGAATACTACATCATGAATCCTATTTTTTTACATTTTGACAAGAGGGAATATATGAATATAGAATTATTTACATAAACTGTTATGGATTGAAACTCTGTAATAAACACAAAAGACAAAAAGACAGATAGATGCCACCTATTTCACTTTTTTTTTCAGATAAATTTGATGCATTCATGCTTGCAAATAAACACTGAAAGACAAAACCTGCAACAGAAACACGTGCAGAAGCAGAGGTACATTGTTAGTCATCACCTTGTACAATTCACGTATGGCAGAAACAAACAGCTCGATGCAGCAGAGAGCCAGAAATGTGCATTGTTAGCATTTAGAAATGGAATCAGAATACATACAGACAGACTGACTGCAAGCAGAGCGACACACAGACAGGTAACACAACAGATGGATTAAATAGTTAAAAATAGGCCAAAAAATTCAATTCAATTCAGCAATAGTTATCACACTGCCTTGCTACAGTCACGGCTGACATGTTAAAGAAGATAATTATGTTACAGAACCAAAATCTGTTTTCTAAATATATAGTGTTGCATTACATTATCTGTGCTTTAAACTTTTTCCCCCCACATCAGCACCTGAAGGCACCCTCAGACTGCACTGCAGGCTGTTTAGATTGGTACCTGCTTCATTTACTGGCATGCAAAGTTAATTCATGTTTAAATGAGGGATACATCCTCCCTCAAAGTGCACAGGGACATCAGGTAGGGTAAAAATAGCTGCATTAGTAAGTTACCAACTACACTGGGGATGTCAGGCTTCCAGTGTTTAAAATACCCACATCTGCTGTTACTGTAGCAATGACAATACGTTTAATTAAAATAAATTAAATTACATTAAATTACCACTGCGTGTCATCTACAGGAATACGTCTTGAAACTAGTTGTAACTGATGTTAAATATAAATGTCAGCGGTGTGGTTTTTAAAAAAATGAAAAACAGGAAGGCAGCTGTTGGAACGTCAACAGCGTCCTATAATGCAGCTGCGAGCTAGCTAGCTAAGCAAAAGAAAGCTTCAGGTTTGTTTGTCTCTTTCTCTCGGCTACTGCACTATAAACTGTAGCAGACACTTTAATGCCCGAAATATTGAATGTATATACTCACACAATTTACACATTTTTTTCCCCACGTTTGGCTGATGCTTATGTTGGCTAGTTAGCTAGTCACAGCGACAACCAGCTACAAGGGCTAGCGAGTATAGTGCTAAATTAAGCGAGCTAACGTTAGCTTAAAAGGTAGGTTTCTGTTTTCAAACAACTTGCCCTTGCCTCTTCTTTAGAAAGTACCACACTCTCTCTCATGATATTAGTTGCCTGTTCAGGGAAATTTGTAACCTATTTTATTAAAAAATTAGATATTTGAACCTTTTTGCCACATATTATAGTGCGTCCATGCACTTGTTGTCACTTAGGTGGCTGTTACCTGACTTTTGGACTGTGCATCCAAATAAAGCATTTTTGTTTTGCTGCATCTCTCGGGGCAGGATAACTTACAGTATGCTTTTTTTCCCCCCATACATGCTTTCCTCTAAATATTTTTGTAGCCATCAAAATCTAACACAGCCTAACAATGCATGTGGTCCATCATCAGTTTTTTTTTCTGGCTCCCTCTGCTTTCATGAAAACTGCCCCCAGTTAGTCCACATTATGTGAATAGTTTTATGCCTGTTTCTGTAAACTGCAGAGTAATTTGTATTTCAGACATGGTGCAAGTGTCCAGATCTCCAATATGTCAACAAATTTGTGTAGAAAAAAAAAAAGTGTTGCAGTATTGATCTTTAGTATGCTAATAATTTTTGAGTGAGCATTCCTAATCTCTAACAACAAATGAGCGTTGTGTGGATGTGCGTGTGTACACGAGCAGGTCACTGGAGTGTCTCATTGCTGGTTTAGAGCTGCTGGAGCAGAGAAAAGGATGGAAATGTCTGCAATTTGAAACCTTGTTAGGAATTTATGAAGTGCTAAAATGTTTTCTCCCCAGGGAGGGTCCGAGCCAGCTGCCAGTGCCACTGTAAGCCATTTAGTGCAGAGCTTGAGCCTCGTCACCAGGCTGAGATGGCAAACGCGATACACACAAACACAAATACTGTATATACAAGTCTTTTTTGCTTGAAATACAAACAAACTCTTGTATCTCACACACAGAGAAGCTCCGATTGCAAACATGTGCTGGCCTGGCTTCTTCACTCTGAAATCAAACAGCTGTAGATTTCTATGGAGCTAATTGGTCTAACATTGACATTTATTACCCTCCTCTCCTCTAGAGAATGCTCCCGCGCAAACTGCACTTAATGTCATTCACTTTACTGTGATGCCGGCTTAAATTGAAGCTTGAACATGATCAAGGCAGCTGACCTTATTTCATAATTGATGGTAGTTTATGTTAATTTAATGTTCCCAAGATCCCAGGGATGGGATTACAGTACGTTGATGAATCCTAAACGACTGATGATGATCTATTAATAGAAGCACTTACAGTGAACGAATACTAATTTGGGCTCTCTACTTTTCACCAAACTGTTTAATACTCAAATACCAAAAAATGTAAGAATAAACAAAAGTACATCTTTGGCAAAATTGATTTTTTGTTACGTCAAACTGGCTGGTTCAGATGACATTTGGGAACTTAGTTTAACGTGTTGCTTCCAAACTTTACTTACGTACGTTGAACAGTGACCCATACAGAATGAAATAACAATAAAGAAATGCATGACTACAGAAACTTAACAACAAGCGTCCTGTGTTTTCTCTTTTCCAGTTTTCAGTGAGGACCTACATTCCAGCTTATATTTTGTCAATGCATCTTTGCAAGAGGTAGTATTTGCCAGCACCACAGGGACCTCGGTGCCCTGTCCTGCTGGGGGTGCGCCGCCTGCCTCGCTGCGGTGGTATTTGGCTACCGGCGAGGAGATCTACGATGTCCCCGGCATCCGCCACGTCCACCCAAATGGAACCCTCCAGATCTTCAACTTCCTGCCATCCAGCTTCAGCAAGCTGATCCACGACAACACGTACTACTGCACTGCCGAGAACCCTTCTGGCAAGATTAGGAGTCAGGATGTCCACATCAAAGCTGGTGAGTCTGCAGATGAGGGCCCGGTGCTGTAACTAGCAAGAGAAAAATGTGTATAAACTGCACTAGAAGAAAACATGCAAGACATAGTTGTGCTAGTAGTGCTACTTTTTTTGGTAGCACAGTGGTGAAGTCTAGTGAAGAGAGATTAATTTGACGAAATAAATGTGTTCAGTTGGTACAAATGAATAAAGTGTTTGTGCATACATTTCTACAATAACCCCGTCATGTACCCAGTGCACAAAATGAAAGCTCAAAGCATTCAGACCATGATTTATAGAAATGATTAATCTGAATTTAATGGCTGAATATCTTTCACCTGATAAAGATTTGCTCATGCTCAAACATAAAAAGGCTAATGCAGGCCACAAGGGTCACAAGTAGCTTTCATCTGTTTCTCAGCAGATTGAGATTCCCTGTTGATAAAGATGTCATTAACGATAGCTTGTCATTTTTTTGCAATAATTGAAATTCTTGACTTTAAAAACAAGGAAGATTGTTTCACTCCATATCTGCCAGATTCTGTTTATTTTTTGCCTAGTAATGTATAATGCTGTAAATGTGACCAAAATCAAGCTCTGACTTCAAATTTTACCTCAAAGGATTAAAAGCTCATTAAGTAATTTTCATGAGCCACGATGACATGGAGATAGATTTTTGGTAATATGATGTCTTTTCAATATAATGTAGTAAAATAGAAGTTATATATGCACCTCTGGTTCCAGAAGTTGAATCACCACTCATTTTTCCTGTGTACCATTCTACCTGACTTACAGGTGAAGCAAATCTGCAACTTGGATCAGCACATGCGTCTCTTAGTTGAATCACTAGACAAAAAGATGAACACCTCTGTTAAAAAATATCTAATTCTCTGATAAAACTCCGCAGGTTTAAGCCTGTGTGCGTACATAGACGCCAATGGTAATGTCTAGTAAGATACATTCGGCTGCCAGGCTTAAACCTTTGTTCTCCATTAATGGCAGTTAAAAATTCAGTGATGACGACAACAATGAAAAGAAAACTGACAACCCAATCTGCACGGATTTACTTTTGATTTGTGGGTCAATTTTTGATTTATTTGGTAACAAAGCAAAGTACTTTAAATTCACTACCAGTCACATTAACACCTCTGACTCCCTTCACAGCAATGGAGGTCCAGGCTGATGGGTGTTGTAGTATTTGGACATACCTCCCCCCTGACAGAATGTTTAACATGTTTTCTGTAAAGCATAATTGAAAAAATTAGAAGCTGTTCTCAGTTTTGTATCTTTTATTATGGAATCTTTAGATCTGTAGTAGATTTCTGATGCTGGAGCAGGGGTGGGCAATCCTGGTCCTCGAGGGCCACAATCCTGAATGTTTTAGATGTTTCCCTCTTCCAACACACCTGATTCAAACGATCAGCTCATCATCAAGCTCTGCAGAAGCCTGATAACGATCCTGATTATTTGAATCAGGTGTGTTGTAAGAGAGAAACATCTAAAACATTCAGGATTGTGGCCCTGGAGGACCAGGATTGCCCACCCTTGATCCAGAGGCAACACCCTATGCCCCTCTTGCTGTATGTTTTCCTAGATGAGGGCTTCATCATGGGCCCCAGTCTGTCCACAGACGTATGTAATGTTGTAATTAATGTCTGATGAGTGAGACTGTCATGTATTTATGTTTTTTTTCTTGTTCAATAGTTTCACGGGAACCCTACACAGTCAGAGTGGCTGACCAGAAGGCTATGAGAGGCAGTGTAGCCGTCTTCAAGTGCATTATCCCTGCTTCTGTCGAGGCCTACGTCACTGTTGTATCATGGGAGAAAGACACCGTTTCACTCAGCTCAGGTACGACAAGTAATACTTTGCACACTGACTTCAATGCAGAGCTTTTAGCGCTCAAACCATCCACGTCCACAGCCTGGTAAATCAAACTTAATGTGTCATATCTGAAGGCAAAAGGCTAGAATTAATGTTAAAATGAGCGACCACGTTTGGAACTTTATATGCCCACTCTGGTAATGACAAAGTTGTGAGATTAAATCTTTGACGGAGGAAGGGACGTGTGTTGCCTTATTTGCCTGTTATCTCAGCCCCCTCTTGGATTTGCTCTTCTCTGTGCTCTTTAGAAACTGTGTTCTGTTTAACCGTGAGTCATCTTCTTACCTGTTTACCGTTGTAGTCTGCCATTACTGGGGCTCTGCAGCTCTGTGCAGCTCTGTCCCCTCACTAGCCAGAGGATGTTGATAACTGTCACATTGAATCACTGCGCTCCCTCCTCCTGTACACCTCAGCCAACTCCCTTTTGGAGTCCAGCAAGGGGTAAAGTGGAACAGTTTACATAGCGTTACATAGCATTGACCTAGTTACCCTCGTTGTTTGAATCTAGTGGCACAGTATGACGACACAAGACACCAGAACTTTCTGCGGGTGGAATTTTTACTCCAGTTAAATGGAATGCTTATCTCTTTGATTGCTCCATGTACTGCCTGCTGGCTGATTTAGCTTCATACTGGGGCGTTCGGGGACCTGTAAGTGAGCACTTGATGTCATTTGACTGAGGGCAGAATCTGGGACGGTGTTTTGGTGGCATTTTAAATGTGTCTGCTCAAGCATGAAGATGTGTCTTCTGATCCATGCCAGCGACTTATTTACTCGAGGTTACTCGAGTTACTTGCTGCGAGCTGCTGGTTGAAGACATTGCCTAATGTCACGGGGAGCGAGCAAATATGCAGCATGCAGATATGATTACGTTCTGCAAATGAAATGAATCATGTAGACAAGGCTCAGAGATGATGTTTATCTCAACTGTGGCTGGAGAAAGTGTCCATCACGAGGATAAAATACTTAACATATCTCCTCTCGCTCTCTTTGTTAAAAACAAAAGCCGCTGAGTGGAAATGCATTAAACAAAAACATCTCTTTACTTATGGACCATTAAGAATTTATATGTGTATAATTTCTTTACATTAAAATAAACAACCTTTGCCAATTATTTCTTAAATCAGCTTTCTACAGTGACGTCTTTTCTTTTTTCCAGCAGGTCTGACAGCTTATAGAATATGCAGTGAGGCTTTGATGGATTATATTGTATGCTTGACGTTCTTTTGAGTTCTTTCGCAAGTGTTCAAAAGAACATCGATATTGGATTGTCCGTGTTTACTCCAATAAGTATTGCAGCAGGCGAGTGCTGTCAAAAGCATGAGCACACGGTCAAAATCACTGCTGCTCGGTGATAAATATTTGATGGTAGATTCTGATGCATGAGCGGATTCACCTCGCACTGTTATGGAGAGGGTATGTTTACTCTAGGAGCGAGGGTTAGAAGGACGTGTGTGTGAGTGAGTGTGTGTGTGTGTGTGTGTGTGTTCATGTTTGTGCATTAACAAAGAACGAGAGAGAGAGAGTGAGAGAGAGAGAGAGAGAGACACCATAAGGATACCAACGGGGCATGACAATGGCAGCTGGATGCAATTTGACCCAGCCTAGATTTCTGACTTCTTTTCCAACCCCCTTTTTTTCTTTTTTTCCTCAGTTTTTCATAGAAGAAGACTTGGTCTCAGTGGACACAAAACAAAGCTATCCCACAGCCGCCCTGAATTATTAATCTCAGGATTTTGTTGGGAACGGTAACATCAAGTGCGCTTCTCTACCCTTGCATTGTGCATCAGAATGAGAGGAAAAGCAGGCCTTGAGATATTCCTCTTAGCAGAGACCCAAATAACCAGCATGATTTTAAAAAATGTGGGCGGAGGATGTCGTTTTCTTATTGAGCAAATGTTAATGACCACCCACAGTTTAGATACCTTCTAAACATCTAAACCTTTGATCAGTACTGATTATGTGTCAGCGCTGCCTGCTTAATATCGTCAGGTGTAAATGTGCTTTTTAAGATCACTAACTTGTAGAGAGGAAACCGGTTTAAATCACAGCTGCAGAAATCTTTGAATATCCAGCGATTCACAGTAGGTCAAAAATAGATGCATAATTACAGACTAGGGCTTGTCTTAATTAATCAGCTGTGATTGAAAAGTTAATTACAATATGAATTACCTTTCAGAATGAGGACTGCTTAGTAGTCATTTGAAGCGGCCTGTTTTCAATGTGAATGAGCACGATGCAAGCTCACCGGGTCCTAATGTTGCCACTAACATACCATTAACCCGTCATGAATTTTAAAATGGATCTCGCAGCACGAGCTTTCAAATGCCCGGCTCCGATCGCCTCCTCGCTGCTTTTGATAAACAATTGACAGAGCTAATAGAGAGATGAAAGAGGCAAAAAAAAAAAGAAAGAAAGAAAGTAGAGCGGAGAGGGGAGGAGTTGAGCTGTGTCCTACTGTGCTCCTGCCAGGATTTTATATGGTGGACCTTTATTTGAATGCATGCGTGTGTTAGTGTTGTCACATGCATCTTTGTGTACCACTGTGCACACATTCATGCTTATGTAGTCGTGTATTTTTTTTTATTTTTTTTTTACATGCCCTTGTGTGTTTGCATGTCAAGTGGCTGTGCTTTTGAAAAGGGATGAAGCTGGGATGGTGTGTGTTTTTGTGTTTTCCATCTACCTACCTTTTGTCTCTCATCATTCATGATACGAGGCAGCGTAATGAGCTGGGCGGCCTTGGTTGCAGACAAGAGCTTCAGCAAAACCAGTGCTTAGATATTGAATGAGCTGCAAACAACATGTTGTCACAGAGACCTTGTACTCTCATTTAAGATGCATGCAGTTGTATGTTGTGCAATTTGAGCATAAATTTTGTGTCTACTTGCAGGAACATTTTGGCTGCTTGAGTCCTCTTGATGAGCAGTATTAGTTGTAATCTATCAGCTCTTAAAATATTTTCCTCTACAACACCAAATTCTTTTGAATTTCTTTGCACTTCACAGATAAAGAAGGAACATGAACATGTAGTCAACATCTGTAACAACACACAATGCAGCTCTCAGCTTTTTATGCATGTTTCTACAGTTCCATTTATATTTTCTTCTGCTAGTATAACCATCTTGCAAACTTGGATAGAATTAAAAATCAAAAAGATTTTGTAACGGTAATGAAGCTCTATATGTTAGGAATGAGACAAGCTGAGTGTTTAGGTAACTATGCCGCGTTTGTTTTAGGTTAATAAATAGCAAGTCCCTGGTCATTATTAACAACACATAACTTTCTTAAATTTGAACAACACTCCCAATGGAACAGCCCATGTATACTACTTTTTAATGTCAAAAAACTGTGTCTAGCTGGATGTTGGATTCTCAGTTTTCAGATAAATGATTTCAACATTAATACGTTGATAGTCACTTTTGATATTTGATTAATTGTCATTTATTTAAGCAAAATCTGCAAAAATCTGTCAGTGACTATCTCAGAGGTGAATTGTTTTCTTAGTCATTCATGATAATAAAGTAAGTACCTTTGAGTTTTGTTACAGTTAAAATCCACTGTAGGCTCTGGGAGATTGTGATGGGTATTTTTTTGTTATTTGTTGACATTTTGCAACAGATTAAATTATATATCAATTAATCAAAATGGATCGAAATGTCCCATGACCTATTATTACATGGTAATTTTAGATTAAGGTGACACTCCACCTATACCATCATCCAGTTACTAATCCAGGGGGAAGGCTGACACAGCCAAAAAACTATAAGCCAGATAGACAGCCTGCCCTGGGGAGGGCAGGAAAAGAGGGGAAAGGTGAGGAGAGGTGATGTAGGATGAGGAGAAGAAGGAAAAAGACAAACAGTGGAATGATGGTAGAGGAGTCTTCTCTGTCATGATGATCTGGGGTCACCTACTTGGCCAGACATGCAAGCCTTTCATCTTTTCATGCTGGAGATTAGGCAATAGATGGAGGACAGGAAGCTTTATTCTGTATAATGACAGGCTAACGGAGAGCGATGCCTCCATAAGCCCCTCCTACTTCTTGGAAGTGCTGCCATCTTGCCATTCCATCATCTGTACTGTGTGGGATGATTTGTAACTTTCTGTCGTCTATGTTTGACCAAAGTTTGGGCACTATATATACTGTGGGATGATAAACATTTATCAGTCATATGAGTTTTTTTCCATAACTGACTGCTATAAAACAATTTGGTACTTTTAAATAAATATATATAGATGATTGCATCTATGTGTTTATCTAAAACAACATTATGTCTGCATATGTTGCTCATAAACATTTTTGTATTATGTGTTACATGTCATGACATATGCATATTAGTATTCTGAGGTATATTGTAAAATGAAACTTATTGTATAATGATATTTGACGGTATGCATATCAACCACACTAGTTGGCCACACCCACTTTTTTAGGTTTTGTGTTTTTGTATATAATGTACATAATATAGTGTATGTCTCTATTAACAGTATCAGACGCTGACATTGTTTATGTTTGATTCTTTTGATTGGTCTTTTTCTTGTCGTCCTTTTTTCTTCTGCTTTATTTGCTTCTCTTCTCTTCTCTTCTCTTCTCTTCTCTTCTCTTCTCTTCTCTTCTCTTCTCTTCTCTTCTCTTCTCTTCTCCATCCACCTCCGTCGGCCTTGACTATCGGACTTCTCTGTTTTCCTCGCATCTCATTGCATAACCTGCTTGGCACAGTGCCCCAGTCAATTTCCTCCTGCGTGAAAAATGCTGTTTTTTATTTGGTTTATGCAAATACGTCCATCCAATACTCACAGCATCAGTGAAAAAAAATCTCCAGTTACATTTTTCAGTCACATTCATGTCGGCCTCCCAACTGGTGAAAATGCTTCTTCACTCTTGCATTCTGCTCACTCTTCTCTCATGGGTTCTTGTGAGTGCTTATGGAGGCTAATTAAACAGTTTGCTTGCTAATAGAATC